AGACAACCCCGTAACAATATGCGTTTTGTACTGCTGTTACACAGCACAAAACGCATAAAAAAGCAGTGCACAGAAAAAACAGGATGGTAACGCGATCGTCGAAAAAGACGAATGCAAAAGCATTACCTGCAGCAGTTAACATTCTCCACTAGAATCCAATCGCCATTCTGATATGCATCAACAAAACGACTATTCTGCCATTCAAAACGCATTTTATTTTTAGGCAAAAACTGATCAAGCAACAGCAAATCCGTCGCTGTATCTGAAATTATACTATTTTGAAAGTGGCGATGTCAAAGGTAAAAAATCTCCTCCGTACTCACTCGCTGTGAAAGGGGCAAGCACTAGAAAGTAGGTCAAGCTGTAGCAAATACCAAAAGCAACCGTATGCTGGAGAGTAAAACAATGCAGACTGATCATAAACCAACTGGAGATGAGACAGATGAGGGAAAAAAAACGGAGGGGGAGAGGGCAAAAAATGCACGTTCTGTGAAAAATGGGGCCTAATGATGATGGCTTTAGATACACCTTTCGTAAGCACAGTTTGAATGAAATGTTGAATAAATGAAATGTTAAAATAATGTCGTGACAAAGAAAAGAAATCGTTGGAAAGCACATTTTTGTTTAGCTAATATAGGCATTACACAATAGCGAATGGCACTTATTGCGCGAAACATGAACTTCCAGACAATCCTGGAAATAGCATACGGGCGTAGCGGAAAAAACTGGTGGTAGAGAGCTCAAAAGATACAAGACTCATTTCCTCCTTGTACCGTCTGATGAAAAAAATACACAGCCGGCCCTCCAATGCGATCCCATATACCTCTTATATCGTTATTTAGCCTTTTTAGTTAAATCACTTCTGTGAGATTTTGAAGGCAAAAAATAGCGGTAAAACTGTTGTGCAGGTTGCGGGAAGCGACACTGTGGAATTGTCTGCAATCCTTGTGTAAATCCAATCGCACTTATATACCCTCAGCTTCACCTACGAATGTTTTAGTAAATCATGTTGAACTTATTTGCCTTCAGCTTCACCTAAGCATGTTTCTGTAAATCTTGTCGAATTTATTTGCCTTCAGCTTCACCTAAGCATAAACCTCATAAATGCGGCGACTGTTTAATGAAGACGGGTTTTTGTAAGACAAATCCTTTGCACCCTCCTGCATCACCAAATGGCAATCCATCAGCATTTTTCGAGGCCTCTACATAATCCCCTACGATAATAGAAAAAAAAAGGCTCCTACGTCGCTGCGCAAGAGGTTTTTTCCTACCAAAAATACTGTTCAGATAAACAGATTTTGACTTTGGCATGAGCAAGAAGAGATGTTGACTGCTTAGGCATCTAGCTACCTCAGAAATATTACAGTGCAAAAAAAGGAGAAATGAAAACCTTCTGAAACAAGTAGCACAGCACTCTGCAAAGCCAACTGCAATGATAGCAGATCATCTGCAACCTCAAAATCGTGCGCCAAATTTGGATATCCTTTCAGCAGGTACAAGGCATTCTGCTTGACTTTAGCGAAATTTATACGATCCGTAATCTAAAAAGTGTGAAAAAATTTAAAAAAAAATCTTCCCTTCTGTTTTTTTCTCCTCTCAGTGAGTTTCAACATTATCACTTTCTCTTCTCTTGAACTTTTTTTGAACCTTATCATGCAAATTCAACAAAACACACTGTCATTGCAGCTGCATTAATGTAGATTTTACTGTTTTCAATATTTTTTTGCGGCATTCCACTACCGAAATGCTAAAAAACTGCTTTACCGTGCAACGGAAGTGCTAAGAAGTTCGGCTGCACACTGACAGAGAAGTATCAGTAAAATCCGACAAAAATCTGTCAACGTCACACGTTAACATTTCAGCGCTAAGAACAGTTCGTCTCAGTACTGATAAGCAAAATACCATTGTTCTTGAAGCGTCAAAAAAATGCGACCAAGGAAAACTAGAAAGGTCGGACCACTCGATTCAAACAGGGGTCTGACAAAAGCAAAACCTAGCAACAACGCTTGGCTGAAAATCGTGCTAGTTTGAAAAAAAAAAAATCATTGACGACCCGCACTGGACGGTCTCGTGCGGCCATGCTTTTTTGCAGTGTTTCGTGCTGCAATAAGATCACTCGAAATTTCGCTAGCTAGAAACCTCTTGTACA